GCACCAGCACTTGTTTATTTGCATTCGCGGCAGGCTCTGCTGGCAGTGATTGCAAAAACAGTACACATCTATATTTCTAACAACTAGTTTAGGTGACAATCAGAGCTGACTGTGAAAGGTTTGATTCTGTTTTATCCCACCAGGATAATTAAAATAGAAAAGCTGTGCTTTAATGGAAATGTTTTCTTGTGTTCATATTATCTTGATCAACTGTATTGAAAATAATAAATAAATGCAAGTAATGTCAGAAATACTATACATCACTTTTATTTGAAGCTGTAAGATTGTATAACTATTTTTTTTTTTTTTACTAAATAGAATACAGCGGTTTCTTACTAATTTGGACTTGGTATCATTATGGCATTGCAGATTCTATATCATGTGGCATTATCGCTGCTCCTGACATTCTGAGAGATAAATGACATATAGTCAGATGGACAATCAATATAGCAAACCTTGACTTTCCCTAAGTTGAGCTCATTAGTGTGATACATAAGTAGACCAGGGCAGAAAGTCGACTTGCTTTGAAGACACAAGTATTGCTATGAACTGTAGGGAGCATTCCCTTGCACCATACTGGGTGATCATGAAGATCTAGTATTCTTTGGCCATGTTGCCATTTCTCCTGATTGATGGAAGATTTGATCTCCTAGTGGGAAATAAGAAAGGAGGTGTGAGAAAGTATTGCAAGCATGACAACCATCAAAAATGCAGAATTCCTGAGTAAGAAGGTCCGTTATCACTCGATCCAGCCTGGGAAGTGTTATCCATACTTAAGAAAGTGTAACAAACACATTCTTCTGAAAACTGGCTAGTAATTTAGTCACATCTGTCCAGTACTTCCTATATTGTTGCTGCTACACAAAAGGTCCTACTTCTAGTCCTCCGTTGCATAACATTTACCTTGTGTAGCAATTTGCTACCTGGAGGCATTAAGTTACCTGTTACCGCCGCCAAACATGTAAGAGCCTCTCATTGAGAGTCTTTGTGTTGTCAAAATAAAGCAAATACATTACTCAAGGTCGACAGAATTTTACACCCATAATATTTTATCCTGCATCTCAGAGTTACAAACTTGTTGTCAGTGTAGCAGGAGGACCCATTCTTTAGGAATTATAATATTGTATAACATGCTTGGAATAAAAATATTATTTTGCACATGAGAGACGCTTATAGGACTAAAGACTGCCTTACAATTTTGCTTCATATGCAACTGTTTGATACTGTATTAATAATAATAATGCTGCATAGCTCTGTATTTTGAATGCACACTGCTGCAGTGAATTAATTAACAAATGGAGACAACCATTGGTTCTCAGAACTCCCTTAAACTAGAGCAGGAGTTGGCAACCTCCAGCACTCCAGATGTTGTGGACTACATCCCCCATAATGCTCTTACACCAGGGGAGATATGGTCCACAACATCTGGAGTGCTGAAGGTTGTCTAATCCTCAACTGGAGTGTAGCCTGTCCACACCAACTGGGTACCATGTACTGCCCTCTTATTTGGCAGTCAAATGGTTTTATGTTATATATATTTTTTCTGCAATATCCCCCACTATAATACTTTGAATTGAATTATTTCTTTCAGTAGTATACAGCCATGGAAAGGTGTTTTAGGGTACCCCAGCAGTTTCCTACGTGGTGTAATATACCCTAACTCACATATGTAAGTGGCATTCACAAGTTCAGTCCTGCCAACTGTCCCGATTTCACAGGATGCTCGAGTTGGGAAGTTTTCATATGTCTGGTTTGTATGTAGTGTGCCTGTGTATTTGGCCTCTAGCAATCACATATAACATACATTAACTACAAAAGTGCACTTAGATGCAGTTAATGGCGCTGCATAGGCATTTTGCACCAATCTAGGTTGTTCTGCAATATTTGTTAGAAAAGTTAATTTACATTGCATACTCTCAAACTAACTGGTAATAATATTTTAAAACTCAGGGGTAGATAGAGTTGCAAATTCTGGAGTCTTGTAGGAGATAATTCAAGGTGTAGTCCATATCGCCTTGAAATGGTAGAGGTTCTCAAGTGCTGTCTTTTGGGTTAACATGAACAGATGTATAACTGTGTGATTTCACATTTTTAACAATTAGAATCAAACATCATGGAAAGATTTTTTTCTTAAATTTTTTGAGTGGTGATTCGTGATTGCAAAAAGGTCTCTGAGCCAAACATTTATTATCCTACATGTAGAAAAACAAAATGTGACAGCAGCGAGGCTATATATTATTACAATCTAAACATAATAGTTTTTTTAAGACTTTACTGATAGAAGGAGCTTATAAATAACTATTGTGGAATTTATCAAAATGTTGTGCTGCTTCTTTTGATTTTAAATATTTTGTTGGTATATGCCACTTATAGCTAATCCCTCACGAAATCCAGAGAACTTTCATCTCTCGTCCTTCTCCCTCTCCCATTGAATATTTTGTGTTTTTTATTTGCAATAGATAAAGCTTTAACAAACACTGTAGCGTTAGTAATATAAACATGTATTCCAAGCTCTATAGTGTTTCCCTATCTAGTACTCTCTCCTCTCCCCTTCCTGTGAGGGTTAAAACTTACCTTTTTCCTTGCCAAACTGGTCTCATTGTGGTCATGCTGCCTCACTGGCTGGGATCATCTGGATTAATGATCTTAGCCAATCCAATGCTTCCCCATAGGGTAGCATTGGGAGCTTAGAGTGCATGCGTGGCAAATCTCCACCCTGTGCCAATTAAATGCTCTGTAGGAGCATTTGAGAGCCAAGTCAGAAGAGCCTCTAATGGCTGTTAGGAAGACTGCACAAAAACTGCAACGTTTTACATTGCAGAGTTAAAATTAAAGAGCCACTGCACCTAGACCACTACATTGAGGTCTGGTGCTGTTAGTGGTCTTTAAACAACCTATTAAATCAATTGGAATACAAACAGTATCTTGGGCCAATAATTTATTAGGAACCATGCTAAAAACAGAGTACTAAAGCATAGCTTATAATTCAAGGCTTAAAATTTTGCTTGTTAGTTAAGTAAGTGTTGAATTTTTTAGCATGCTGTATTGATTATGATGCTTGGAGTATTCCTTTACTCACATTTCAGGACACCAACATGGAGCAAATGTATGTCTCACTTCTCCCATAATGCATCCTGCTGCCATCTCTTCCAATGTTAAACGATGCACATGCACCCGACCATCCACCTGGTCTAAAAGAAAACATGATCCATCAGACCAGGCAACCTTCTTCCATTGCGCTATGGTTTTTTTCTGGAAGCTCAAGTCCCCATTGAAGGTGCTTCCGGCACTGGACAGGGGTTATCATGGGCACTCTAACTGGTCTGTGGCTACGCAGCCCCAAACACAACAAACTGCTATCTTTCTATCATGGCCAGCATTAAGTTTTTCTGCAATTTGAGCTGCAGTAGCTCTTCTGTGTGATTGGACCAGACATACTAACCTTCACTCTCCACGTGTATCAAAAAGCTTTGGGTGCCCTTAATCCTGTCGCTGGTTCACAGGTTTTCTTTCCTTGAAACTCTTTTGGTTGTTACTAACCACTGGATACTGGTAACACCCACAAGACTTGACGTTTTGGAGTTGTTTTGACCCAGTCATCTCGTCACCTCTACTTGGCCCTTGTCAAAGTCACTCAGATTTTCACTTGTCCTTTTCTCTTGCTTCCAATAAAATTAAATTCCAGAAGTAATTGTTCGCTTGCTGCCTAAAATATATATATCCCACCCCTTAAAGGTGCCATTGTAATGATATAATCAATTCACCTGTCAGTGGTTTTAATTTTGTGGCCGATCACTGTATACATTCATATATGTTCAAGTGACCAATGGATCGATGACTAAGCTTGGGTCGTTAGTGCAGTGTCCAGTATCGCTATGCAATGCACATATAAGAAAACATTTTACAAAATATTAGTATATTTTTAACACAAAAAGAATGTTTAATGAGGGATTTTTTTTTATATGTAGAGTTCTACAGGAAATAAGGTTAAAAAAAATTAACAATAAAAAAAAAAAACTCATAGAATAACACTGTCATTCATTAAATAAGGGTAAAATCATATGATAACCTCTGAAAATATAACCAAGCTATTAATACAAATGGGACGGACTAATTGCCAAAATTTTGATAATGTGACATAGTGCTAATTGTGTCCCAATGATTAACACAACCAATCCCTTTGGACAAGTGTAGTGTAGTGTTAATGGGTGTTATATTAAAGATGCCTATCATTCCCATGATAGGGGTATTCAAAGATTTAATGTATTATATAATTAATAAAAAATTGTCACTCTAACCACTGAAAGGCTTAATGTAAGAGATAGTATTTAAATAATGATTTGCATACATTTATATGCAAAGTTATATATATATATATATATATATATATATATAAATGTATTTATTATTTATTGATATTTGTTTACATTTGTCCCTTAATGCTGTATTAAGTGCAAATAATTATTGCATACTTATATTAATTTTGGTGAACAGAAGTCCGGGATTTGATCAAAGTCCGCTACAGTAATCAAAACAAAATTTTTTTTTGTTTTTTTTAAATTCTTTATTTTTGTTGTGCATAAAATAAGATACAGGATTTCAGTGATCACGACATTGCTTAGTGACAGAGGAGGTATCCAAAGTAACATGTCTAAAGGAATAGACTGCACAAGATGGCTTGTTAATAGTGTGATAGCGTACAGACGAGTGATTTTGCCTCTGGTTCAGAAAGTGTTAAACTATAACAGGTTAGGTATGTATGTAAGAGCCACAGCCCCTACATTTAGTTCCATATTGTATAAGCTCAAGATATATTATTAACAGGCTAAAACAGGCTGGTTGACATATCTACTGTGATATCAGGTGCTGTGATATTTGGTTTGTACTCTAGGAATGCACGCGTGCTGCGGCGGCTAAAGGCATTATAGGGACCTAACATGGTAGTAAGGCTCCTTACTGCATTGCGTGGGGGCCTGGTATGAGAAATAGGCTGTCTAGGGTCAGTCCTTTGGCCTGTTTAGGTGGTAGGGCAGCCTCTTTATGAGGTGCAGCAGTTCGTCTGCTGTCACGGTGTCTGGGATCCCCTTCAGCTTGATATTTCTCTGTCTCACCATATCTTTAAGCTGCCCCACTCGGGCGTTTAGTTGTGAGCATGTGGTTACTAGCTCCTGCGTTTGCTTTGCCGTGGCATCATGCTGGGCTCTCAAGTCCTGGATTACTTCTTCCGTGGCTCGCATGCGGCCTGTAAGTGTGCTCAGCTCCATCTTGAGGCCTGCTAATTCTGCTGTGAGGAAGGCCTTAAGGTCATTCACCATGCTTGATAGGCCGACCTTGGTGGATAGTGGTGGTTCTGACTGCCTTGGTGGTGCAGTTTGTTGCTTCCTTTGAGGTGTCTGGGTCGGCATATCGCTCAGGTACTCATCCTCTGAGGCAGAGAGTGACTTCATCCCCATGGTTTGAAAGACGTCCGCCATTTTGGGCTTGCCTGAGACAAGAGTTGCCCGATATCGTGGGTATGTCCCACGGATGACCATCGGGGTTTCCGGGAGTGTTTCCCCATAGTGTGCTGACTCTCCCTCCATCTTTTCCTGGCTTATGGAGGTAGTTTTTGAGGATTCTGTAGCTGTTTTGCTGTAGTAATGTCGGAGCTCGGGTTTCATGCGACTTGTCGGCTTGACAGCTAGCTCCGCCCCCAAAACAAAAATGTTTTTAAATACAAGTGTAAATAGTAGGCAATAAAAATGAAACATCAGTTAGTGGTGAAAAAAAAGCTGCAAAAAATTACCCCAATAACAATTCCCCAGTGTTAATAATTAAATACAAATAGAATAAAAAAAATCAAAGTGAGTAAGCACCGTATATGTAAAAAATCTTATTCTTGAGTAGAAATATTGTGCAGAAATAAAAACAGAATACTGGGTATATAAATATCTTTGAAAATATAAAAGATTAACATTAAGGTGTTACTCAAGAAGCACACCAGAAAACGAGGTGTCTAACAATGTACAGATATGGTGATAAAAAAACTTGTACGGTGGTGCTAAAAATAATGTAAGTATTAGTAACAGGTTTTATTTGAGAGTAAAAGTAAAATTGAAATATTAAACACAGAATTTAAAAAAAAATCATTAAAAGACTGGCATTAGTGTGATAATATCAGATCAAGCTGGGGAAATAAATAAAACAGTAAATTTCTAAGGGGTTAAACAAGTCCTCTTAACCAGATTGGAGAGTTTAATTAAAATAAACACCATAGTAATTGGTCTACAGGTATAATGACAGTGAAGATTTCATAAGAAAGCTATATGGTAAAACTGTATAATTAGACAAACATGAGGCTTCTGTCAATATCTCCAGTGTGTATGTAGTGATAGAAATATGGCCACGTTAACAAATTATAGCCAAGTAAGAAGTGGAAGTCCTCCAAATACCAATTTGCCAAAAGGAAAATATAAATGCAAAGGGTAAAAGCTAACAAAATCTCGAATCCACTAACCTTTAGTAGATATTCTCCAAATAGATTCAGTGATAGTAGCTATGTATTCCATCCACCATAGTCAACTGAGAATCTAGTTACAATGTATGAATGAATATGCCTTCAGCGCCTACGTGTTTTGTCACCTGAGTGGACTTTGGCAAGACTGAACGACCAAGACCAGACAAGACTGACACTAGAATGCACACAGTATCATTACGAACTTGGAGGTGATGCCATAAATGAGAGTCTCGAGTCAGCTTATGGACTTGGAACTGGTGTTGGAAAAAAGTAGAGTGTTTTGCCACTGGGCACATATCCCACCAACGTGTTCCGTGTAGTCATATGAGGTGCTGGAATGACACTGGTGGGTACTCTAACAACTACATACAAATTAATGCAAATAATCACATACTACAGAGAGCAATACATATACATTATTTATGCTAGTAGGCATGTTGAAATGTTTGCTTAGCATATATTTATATAATGTCCAATTTATATATGCATGAGCTAGAGTTTTCATTGCCTCCAATATCTGGTTTACAGACGCTCATGGGAAGAGTTTTCTATATTTGCCTACCACGTCTATTTGATCTATATCTGTAACGCATTCTCAAGTTTACATTTGCACTAGATAGTGTTTTATATATATATATGCTGAATATATCCAGCTGATATATACACATTGGGTTGACTTTTAGGTTTATTCATTCAAGTGTGAATTGCTGTGAATTTAAAGTGAATTCCAATGGTATTAAACATTTTACTCCATAATAGATTAAATGAACTCATAATTAAATATTGAAATTGTTTCCAGTTTCATTATATAGCCTTAGAATTAGAAATTCCCTTTGAAGTTACTTTTAATTACCAGCAATTCACACCTTATTGAATAACCATGACACTGTACACGTTCGCATGTGCAATTTATGTATGCATGTGGAGATGGGTTTTGTATGTGTCAGGCCATGTTTCAGGCTTGAGCACAGATGGAATATTCGCTGTTACTGAGTTACTAATTAATGGGCTGTTCAATTACTACGAATAACCAATCACACATCTGGTCCAAGGAGAGACAACCTAGAAGCTGGCCTCTTGGTAGCTTTCGAGGGTGGGATTTGGGGGCTCATGATGTGGGCACTTTGAAATAATTTGATATTATTTATTTGGGATGTGTTCTATGTCTATTGAGGTTAGTTTTACGTAGATATTAAGATATTACACATTTCAGAAGGTGTATGACTTTGTCTTTTAGTAAGGTGTGCAACATGGTTGAAATATATATTGTATTGCTTTTTTTCCTGCTATAAATAAACACTTCTTTGAATCTATCTAACTATCTATCTATCTATCTGTCTATCGAGGGAGTTCTCTTTTTTTGAGGGGGGTTGGTGGGATATGTGCCTCTGGACACCTGATATATAAATATAGCACATTCTGAGGTTCTGATTGGATGCTAACATTGCATGCTCCCATAATCTTTTTATTTACATCTCTCATTGGAAGCTTTCAAACTGCAATATATAGCCAAGATGGCCATTCTGGTAAAACCATAAGATCTTCAAGTGGCAATTACAGTTCATTTTACTATAGCTGTGTTAGGTGGAATTAGTATTACTCTCTTGGGACAATTGTTGCAAAGTGATCTATGTAAAGAAATTTTAATTGCAATTTGAATTAGTGTCAACCAATCACAGATACACTAATGGCAAACATTATTATTTAGTAAATGCAATTTGGTGAGTAACAGGTAGCTCATTTATTTAAGCATTTATTTAATATGAGCAGATCAGTATCCTTCCTTACACCACCAATTAGGTCAGAATTTTTGCACTCATGCGCTGCTGTTAGCAGTCTCTGGCTGGAATTAATGTGAAGATCATCAAGAGAGAATTCTCAAAATATAAGAAAATTCTCAAAATATTACTAAGATAACATGAGCATTCTTCTCTCCTTATAGACCCTCAGTCTGTAGAGAGGAACTGGCGTGAACAGGGTTTTGGTACAACACGCTAGCTAACTAAACGTGAAAAAATGGGTTGTGCTATTTTTTTAAAATATGTTTTTTTTGCTTAACGCATTTAATTGTGAGCTTAAACTGTGGTGCCATGCACGTGTTTACCTTGATGCCATTCATTAAAGAAAATGCCTAGACATGCTTTAATAGCATTTAGAATGGTAAAATGATATCTCCCTAGACACGGAAGTGCTTCAGTGGTAAGTCTCCTTTGTAAAATACTGGTTGATAGGAAAAGGTGCAAATGCAAGTGCAGGCAAGCCAGAATAGGGGATCACTCCCAAATCCCAACAATACAAAGAACAGGTGTAGGATAGTTATAAACATATACAAAATAGGGTGCCACTGTCACAAAGGTGTGGATACAGTTACCACTCAGGATTCAGATGATAACATGTAAAAGATCATAAGAGAGCACATATGGTGAAGTATTTAATGATAACAGTTTTAAAATCAAAACAATAAAAACACACTCAGTGATGCCGGTGATACCTCAGGATCCCAGTTGAGCTTGCACGAGTGCTCCCAGCAAATATCTCAGACTCAAATCATACCCTGCAGGACCTATTTTATCCACAAGAACATTCTTGGACTGGTACACACTGATCAACTGGGATCCTGAGGTATCACCGGCAGACTCTCTCTAGGGAGACCTAGCCCATTGGTGGCTGAAACGCTTTCTTGCACACTAAGATATATTTCTTTATGCCACTTCTCTTGAGTGTTTTTTTATTGTTTTTTTTTCATTTTAAAACTGTTATCATTAAATACTTCACCACATGTGCTCTCTTATGAGCTTTAACTTGTTATCATCTGAATCCTGAGTGTTAACTATATCCACACATTTGTGACAGTGGCACCCTATTTTGTATATGTTTATAACCATACTACACCTATTCTTTGTAAGTCTCCTTTGCACTTACAGTCACTGTACAAGTCACTCTAAATGCTTCAATGTGACGAGAGAAAGAGACACTCCACTTGTAGAGAAGTAACAGTTCCACTTTGAGTTCTTTTAAAAGGTGCCTTGTTTCAAACTAACTTCTGACATTTTTATAGGATAACTTTAAAGGGACACTATAGGCACCAAGACCACTTCATCTCATTGACGTGGTCTGGTTACACTGACTCTGTCCCCTTAAACCTGCAATGTACAACATTGCTATAGTGTCCCTTTAAATGTTTAGTTCATCTGATGAAAACAATATATTTTGCACTGTTAGTTTAATTATAAATTGCCAATATATTTTGCACTATAAAATGGAACAAAATTATACAAAGAGGTTATTCACTGAAAGTAATTTTGCTGGCAATTGGCCAGCGAGCTTGAGATTTTAAGTCCAAAATTGAGAAATTCAACGGCTCTGCTAGTTTGACCTAGTCCTAAAGATGTCAAACATCACAAAGAAGAAACCCTCACAAAATAAAATTCTTTAAGTTTTTGTCTCTATTCCAACACGTGGGTGTGCATTTGTGAATTAATGTGAATTTCTGAACTCTGTATAGAACTGGTTTACTTAGAGTGGCCAAATAAAATCATCGTTTGATACAAAGCGTTTGGACTGACGTCATCAAATCCCAATGACACTTGTTCACTTTAACCCTGAGATTTAGAACTCTAGCGCTATATGAGAGAGTAGCAATATGTTTTTAATGGTTCATGATCCAGCACTATACATTTCAATAATCAATGATGCAATTAATACTGGATGGTTTAAAGACTAGTGTGGATCAATCAGTAAACCAGCCACTATGACAAATGTACGTTTCTTAAAGAAAAGGCCACCTGTGCGCGAGTGTGATTTCTGACAAACCAGCACAGGATTGTCCTAAGGGCTGTAATTGAGAACTGATGATCTGAAGATTACTTTAATGCAGGTTTCCATAGGGTAGCCTGACATGTGTTTATTTTAGTCAAGTTCTTTTTTTTTTTTATTCTAACTACTTTTAGACAACAGTTGGAGCTTTGCTTCGCATGCAATGGGAAGTATTGATAAGGGTGCTACAAATGTAACGCCAAAGTATCCAAGTAGGAGAATTTTTCACCTTACAGCCCTTGGCCTACGATTTGTAGTTCTTTTGTTAATTCTCCACAATTACTTAGATTGTAAGCTCATGGGCGACCTAGCTAAGTACTTTGTATTAAAGAGCTTCAGTGGCTAAAT